AATATTTTGAATGTCAAGTGTATTGACAATAACTCTATTCAATATCTCTAACTAAAAATCATAAAAGTTTTCTCAAGTTTTGTTGAAAATAATATTAGGGGTCAAAGACATACAGTTTATGATATCTCTTGAAATTAAATATGAAAAATGATATACAAGTGTCTGGGATGTAAAGTATGAGGAGTTTTAATTGTTCATAAAAATAATTTATTTGCTTTTTAATGTCAATTTATTGTCTCTTATGACATTTAATTGTTTAGTAATTTGTTAGGAAAAATACATACAAATGTCATAAAATTGGAATTTAAAAAATATATTGCAATATAATTTTTCATAAAATATTGTATTAATATAACCATCTGTTAAATGTCTAATGTTTTATCACTTTTCAAATGCAACACTCAATTTATTATATATTATATTAAATTCTACGTTCATATTTTTATCACAAGAGATATGAACAATTTTTATATAATATTTATTTATGTTCACCCATTACTTGAATACTTTTTTAGGAAAGTATTAAATGACAAACATTTTCATATTAGACAAAAATCATGACATATTTTGAAATCAGTGATTTTGTGCGGAATATGTATTTCCTTTAGTGTTTGAATAAAAATACTGATTTCCTAACAAAATAATAAGATTAATAAACTTTAGTTCATTTGATTGGCAATAAAAACAGCATTGTTTTCATAAATACGGGTTTATATTTATAGTTATATTAAGTTTATTATTACAAAATGTCATTTGAATAAAATAAATGAGAAATCATGGATACAAGTGATGTGGTGAAGGGATACGAGGATATGGATACCAAACGGCGCCTAAAGTGTAAGGAATTCCGATTTAAAATGGTAATTGTGGGCACATATGGTGTGGGAAAGACTAGTCTTATGTTACAACACTTTGACCGCTATTTCACGGATAACCCGAAGACGACAGTTGGCGTCGACTTCAGGCAAAGAAAGTTTCATTTGAACAACACTTCTGTCATATTAGAGGTTTGGGATACGGCCGGGGAGGAGAAGTACGCCAATATTGTGCAGATATATTACCGGTATTTCTTAACAATTATTGAAAAA